GGGCACTGCACTGCGGGCAGGGCCGGGCTCAGGGCACCACAGCACTCGGCTGCCACGGAGGCCACGCTGGGAGGCAGGGGCGCCCCCGCCCTCGCAGGGCTTGGTTTCGAAGCGGTTGGTGGGGGAAGTCGGGCCGCACAGGAAGTCTCTCTTGCTGCCGCACTCCCTGCGGAGGGGAATTCCACCAGGCTGGCGTCTTGTGACGCAGAAGCAATCGCACTTTGACTCAGGGCCCTCGCCGGGGCCCAGCTAGTTCCCGGAAAGGCAGGACCACGCCGGGGGAGGTGCCGGCGAGCTGCCTGGCCGAGGGGGGCTTTTGGCTCCCGCGTGGTCCCCCCCGACCCCGGCACATTCCCTGCTCCCTCGGGGCGATGCCGAGCCCGTCACTCCATCGAACAGGCGCCCGCGATGGCGTCTCTCCTCCCTCGGGACACGGGCTGTGGAGACCCCCCGGCATTAGGCCAGTAGACGCCACAGACCAACCCAGGCGCCAGAGCCGTCCCCTCCATACGAGGAATCAGGGCGATGCCCCAGGCCCTGTGGCTTTGGGGGCCCCGGGATGGCTGCCCTGACCGTCCTATGGATGGGAGGAACCAGGGGGCTACAGGGGCCTGGCACAGCAGAGAGAGCAGGGCGAGAGGTGCCACTCAGCACGTTCCTGCAGCTCATGGAGAAGTGAGGTGGGGTGGGGTGGAAAGGTGGCAGGGCAAAGCAGGGCGGGGAGAGAGGGTGGGGGAGAAGGGCCCGCCCTCCCGCCATTGCCACGGACAGAGCCCCCCTGCTGTGCACCCAGGCTGGGCTCCAGGGACCCGCCCTCCCGCCATTGCCACGGACAGAGCCCCCCTGCTGTGCACCCAGGCTGGGCTCCAGGGACCCGCCCTCCCGCCATTGCCACGGACAGAGCCCCCCTGCTGTGCACCCAGGCTGGGCTCCAGGGACCCGCCCTCCCGCCATTGCCACGGACAGAGCCCCCCTGCTGTGCACCCAGGCTGGGCTCCAGGGACCCGCCCTCCCGCCATTGCCACGGACAGAGCCCCCCTGCTGTGCACCCAGGCTGGGCTCCAGGGACCCGCCCTCCCGCCATTGCCACGGACAGAGCCCCCCTGCTGTGCACCCAGGCTGGGCTCCAGGGACCCGCCCTCCCGCCATTGCCACGGACAGAGCCCCCCTGCTGTGCACCCAGGCTGGGCTCCAGGGACCCGCCCTCCCGCCATTGCCACGGACAGAGCCCCCCTGCTGTGCACCCAGGCTGGGCTCCAGGGACCCGCCCTCCCGCCATTGCCACGGACAGAGCCCCCCTGCTGTGCACCCAGGCTGGGCTCCAGGGACCCGCCCTCCCGCCATTGCCACGGACAGAGCCCCCCTGCTGTGCACCCAGGCTGGGCTCCAGGGACCCGCCCTCCCGCCATTGCCACGGACAGAGCCCCCCTGCTGTGCACCCAGGCTGGGCTCCAGGGACCCGCCCTCCCGCCATTGCCACGGACAGAGCCCCCCTGCTGTGCACCCAGGCTGGGCTCCAGGGACCCGCCCTCCCGCCATTGCCACGGACAGAGCCCCCCTGCTGTGCACCCAGGCTGGGCTCCAGGGACCCGCCCTCCCGCCATTGCCACGGACAGAGCCCCCCTGCTGTGCACCCAGGCTGGGCTCCAGGGACCCGCCCTCCCGCCATTGCCACGGACAGAGCCCCCCTGCTGTGCACCCAGGCTGGGCTCCAGGGACCCGCCCTCCCGCCATTGCCACGGACAGAGCCCCCCTGCTGTGCACCCAGGCTGGGCTCCAGGGACCCGCCCTCCCGCCATTGCCACGGACAGAGCCCCCCTGCTGTGCACCCAGGCTGGGCTCCAGGGACCCGCCCTCCCGCCATTGCCACGGACAGAGCCCCCCTGCTGTGCACCCAGGCTGGGCTCCAGGGACCCGCCCTCCCGCCATTGCCACGGACAGAGCCCCCCTGCTGTGCACCCAGGCTGGGCTCCAGGGACCCGCCCTCCCGCCATTGCCACGGACAGAGCCCCCCTGCTGTGCACCCAGGCTGGGCTCCAGGGACCCGCCCTCCCGCCATTGCCACGGACAGAGCCCCCCTGCTGTGCACCCAGGCTGGGCTCCAGGGACCCGCCCTCCCGCCATTGCCACGGACAGAGCCCCCCTGCTGTGCACCCAGGCTGGGCTCCAGGGACCCGCCCTCCCGCCATTGCCACGGACAGAGCCCCCCTGCTGTGCACCCAGGCTGGGCTCCAGGGACCCGCCCTCCCGCCATTGCCACGGACAGAGCCCCCCTGCTGTGCACCCAGGCTGGGCTCCAGGGACCCGCCCTCCCGCCATTGCCACGGACAGAGCCCCCCTGCTGTGCACCCAGGCTGGGCTCCAGGGACCCGCCCTCCCGCCATTGCCACGGACAGAGCCCCCCTGCTGTGCACCCAGGCTGGGCTCCAGGGACCCGCCCTCCCGCCATTGCCACGGACAGAGCCCCCCTGCTGTGCACCCAGGCTGGGCTCCAGGGACCCGCCCTCCCGCCATTGCCACGGACAGAGCCCCCCTGCTGTGCACCCAGGCTGGGCTCCAGGGACCCGCCCTCCCGCCATTGCCACGGACAGAGCCCCCCTGCTGTGCACCCAGGCTGGGCTCCAGGGACCCGCCCTCCCGCCATTGCCACGGACAGAGCCCCCCTGCTGTGCACCCAGGCTGGGCTCCAGGGACCCGCCCTCCCGCCATTGCCACGGACAGAGCCCCCCTGCTGTGCACCCAGGCTGGGCTCCAGGGACCCGCCCTCCCGCCATTGCCACGGACAGAGCCCCCCTGCTGTGCACCCAGGCTGGGCTCCAGGGACCCGCCCTCCCGCCATTGCCACGGACAGAGCCCCCCTGCTGTGCACCCAGGCTGGGCTCCAGGGACCCGCCCTCCCGCCATTGCCACGGACAGAGCCCCCCTGCTGTGCACCCAGGCTGGGCTCCAGGGACCCGCCCTCCCGCCATTGCCACGGACAGAGCCCCCCTGCTGTGCACCCAGGCTGGGCTCCAGGGACCCGCCCTCCCGCCATTGCCACGGACAGAGCCCCCCTGCTGTGCACCCAGGCTGGGCTCCAGGGACCCGCCCTCCCGCCATTGCCACGGACAGAGCCCCCCTGCTGTGCACCCAGGCTGGGCTCCAGGGACCCGCCCTCCCGCCATTGCCACGGACAGAGCCCCCCTGCTGTGCACCCAGGCTGGGCTCCAGGGCCCAGGTGGCTGCTGTCTGCCCAGTGGCCACCTGCGTGTGGCACTTGTGCATGCAAACGGGGAGACTGCCCATGCAAATCTATCTGCATATGCAAATGCACTAGGCAGAGGCCCCTCAGTCTGAAAATCAGGGCCTGAGACTTTCCCCGGGCCCATAAAGGAAGGCCCTACCCTCCTCTCCGCGTCTGAGCACGGCCGCTGAGCCCCCCGAATCCCAGGGGCCGAGCAGCCACTAGT